TTTGTAGGGGGGGGGGGAAATTATTAAACAAACAGGCCGCCGACTGGGACTCATCGGCCGCGGCCTCGGCCGAATTGCCCGCSGCCTAGGCCGCGGGTGTCACGTAGCCCTCAGGAGATTGCAGCCCCCGTTCTCTTCGTCCCCCTTAATCATCATCTCACCCGTCCAGGTGGTTGGCCCTCTTTGGCATGACTTGACTGCAGGTGACGTTTTGACGAGGGATCCCTCTGCTTTATTCTTCCTGCTTCCTGCCATCAGTTGTGTTAACCTGCTGGTATCTGTTGGGCTGGCTTGTGGACTGGCCAGCCAACCCCCGCGCCAGCTGGTATGTGGCAGTAACCTGCTGAATACTAGTTTTGGGGACGGGACGAGAGTACCTACTTGCCACCACCTACCTGTGGAGGAGAGACTGTAAAGATGGAGGCCAAAGGTAACAGCAATCTTGTAAAAGGGCAAGCAACTTTTATGTTGGAGCTGTACCGTGCTGCATTGTCYGAGGGTGGTAAGGGCAGTATGGGCAATGAGAGCAACAAGCCACTGAACATAGCAGTCTCACCCRTGAGCATTGCTCTCGCGCTGGCGGTTGTCTCTGGCGGGGCAGCCGGGAACACGCTGACGGAAATACTTAACGTTCTCCGGCTTCCGGCAGATCTGGCCGTTGCGCATTCTTCCTTGACATCTCTGCGCAGGAATCTTCTTGGAGGGCCCACCTCTGCCTCCACCTCAGATTCNCATTCTTCCTTGACATCTCTGCGCAGGAATCTTCTTGGAGGGCCCACCTCTGCCTCCACCTCAGATTCAGATGCAGCCGACGTTCTTCGGCTTCCGGCAGATCTGGCCGTTGCGCATTCTTCCTTGACATCTCTGCGCGAGAAAGTGCTTGGAGGGCCCACCTCTGCCTCCACCTCAGATTCAACTGCAGCCGACATTCTCCGTCTTCCGGCAGATCTGGTCGTTGCCTATTCTTCCTTGACATCTCTGCGCAGGAAACTGCTTGTATGGCCCACCTCTGCCTCCACCTCAGATTCATTTGCAGGCGTGAAAGTTAAGATTGCGACCGGACTTTGGGTGACTGATCAGCTGCCGTTGAAAAAGGAGTATGAGGATCACGTTGCCATGTACGAGGGTCGTGTGGTCCCTGCAGATTTTGTCGGGGCAGCATCACAAGTGCGTGAAGAAATCAACCGGTGGGTGAGAGATCAGACATTAGGAAAGATACAGGAGATCGTCCCTCGAGGCCTGTTGAACGAAGCCTCTGTCTTTGTGCTTGTTWACACACTCTACTTCAAGGGATTGTGGCAGAAATTCTTCTGTAAAGAGTATACTGCCYCTGGGAACTTCGTGATACCGGCCAAAGGTGGTGGCTTGGAGACTGTGTCAGTTCCGATGATGTGGAATAATGGAATGTACAGAATAGGAAAGGAGAATGGTTTTCGGATTTTGCGATTGCCCTATCAGATGGGGGGAGCGGATGATTGCCGTCAACTGGCTATGTATATTTTCCTCCCGAATGAGGTGGATGGGCTTGCAAAGATGGAGGGATCGTTGACTGCCGAATTGCTCGAGGAGTCCTTCGGAAACATGTATGACAGCCACCACACTTTTCCTCCCAAAATTCAAAGTGGCATCAGGTCTGCAACTCAACCAGTCGCTGAAGGATATTGGCATGAAGAGCGCATTCGATTTGGAAATTTTCGATTTCTCAAACCTATTCAATTGTCAAGATCGCCGATTGTACATCTCTGATGTCCTGCATGATGTGTGCGTTGAGGTAGATGAGCAGGGCACAGTTGCAGTAGCAGCAACCCTTATGGTACCGAGCACCAGCGATTCGAGGACGCCCCCCCCGCCCAACGAGTTAATTGTGGACCATCCTTTCCTTTTCATGATACGAGAGGACAGATCCGGTGTCGCTCTGTTTCTTGGTCGGGTTGTAGATCCTCGGCCTTCCAAATAGTTGTGAATGTTAGAGTGTTTTTGCGCTTGTCAATGGGATGTGGGTTCAACTTGGTGCAATACCACACGAGCCGAGTGTTTGTGGGCACATATTACTGTGGCTTAATGGTTCTCAAATGTATTTAATTTAATGGTTCATATTACTTCATAAGCAGATCATGAGGTCGAGTGCTGATGGGTACGCCAATTATGGGTCAATTTGTGGGGCGTKTTGTCATGCAACATTTCGTGAATATGACAGTGTTMTTGCAACTCTTTCGCGAATATAAGTTTTCTAATGGATGGGTGCAAGTCCAGTATGGGTCTATTTGTTGGTCATGTTGTGGATCCTCGTCCATGCAATGTGTTGGGATTCTTGGGAATATTTCAGTGTTCTGGTGAGCTTGCAACTGCGCCTTCCCAAAGTGAGCAGCTGCTTTAAAATTGGAATGATAAGGACACGCATAAATGGAGAAATGTAGGTGTGGCATGTGAGTTTCGGGTTCCTATCATTCCTACGTGGCATCTACCCTGCCAAGCACCATAGCTGTGTGAGAGCTATGGCGATAGTGCCCTGGCATCGCCTTGCCCTTGAGTGGGGAGGGAGTGCCTTGCACTCTTACGCCATGGCATCCTGGTAGCTCCTTACTCTGCACCGGACATCTATTACGACCTACAGGCCTATCAGGACCAAGATACCAGAGGAGCCGTCCTCCCCTTAAGCSTTTGCTCGAAAGGGGGGGCTCCTTTTTCAACACCTAGTGGCCGGGCATGGGACTCTCAAGACACATTGTTTTGATCGCCTCGGTCAATAAGATAGCATGGATGGCGGAGCGGCGCATCTGGACGCAGTGGGAGAGCGTGCGGCTGCGGTAGCAGCGCTTCGGCAGATCGCAGGGCTACAGTAAGTCTCGGTAGACATATCTAAGGCGCAAGACAGTTTCAGCAAGTCTCCTTTGACCTACCTTTCTTGCAAGGCGGCATACACAGTAGATCTTCGGATTGTTTTGTTGGTCTAGTATTGCTCGCTCGGCGTGATGTTTTCTAATTTCTGCGCAATTGTATCATTAGTCTCCGAGCTTGGCTATGTATAGTATGGACCACATCAGCGACTCTCTATTCTCGCCCCTAATACTTGGTCAAGACTATAGAATAGTTAGGATTATGGCTATAGGCTATATAGCGTAATAGACTCGTGGGCCATTATGATAGTATTGTGTGCCATTATGAGATTATCGCGGGTCATTACGATATTATCTCAGCTATAACTGTGATTGGAGTTATAGGGTAGCAAAGTCCATAGAATAGTTGATCTGTTAATTGATTCTGTTGTTTGGTATCTTACAGTTTTTCGAAATTGGTTTGGGTTCTGTTTGTTTATCGGGATCGTTTTTGTTGTTGGTATTTTGCAGACCGTTTCTGTGGTCGGTGACCCTCCCAGTGTATTCTGCCTGATACACCTACGRCAGTATYTGGAAATTCTAAGAAAATAGTTGGGCTAATGGTGTACTTCCATAGTTTGGTCCTKCAATTATTCTTCTTCGTAGATTAATATGTTAGAATTTGGATTGGYTGTTCTTCAATCKCTTATTTTTTGGAGACAATATTATTACGTTTAGCTTRAAGTTGGTATGTTTTAAATTGGGTTAATTGAGTTGGTTTCCGGAATAGTTTTTAGGGTTAGTAAGCGAACTCTCTTGGATTTTCCATGTGTGGCTGTTTTTACTAGTATGGAATTTGGATGGGTTGGTGTTTAATTGTTTTTGTGAGAAGGAGGTACGGTGGCTTATGATTGGAAATGAAGGTAATCTGGTGATAGTACTGTGATACCCGTGGATTTGCTAKTAGCGGCGCCACCTTGAGCAGTGAGAGTGTATCAAGGGGCGGTGGGAACGTTACTGGAGGTACGAGAGAACC